GTGTGGTAAGACTGAGGGAGAGATGGGCTGGTGCTGCAGGTTGTGTTGATTACCTGCAATCAGGAGGGGCTGCATCATCCCCAGCAGCATACAGCACAGTAGCTGACCCGTCAGCGAGATTTGTTGAGCTCTCTGGTGCACATCAACCTGTATCTTCTAGCAGAGAGACCCTGGGGAGAAAGAAAAGGCATCTGGGCCTTCCTTCACAACAGTGGCCACATCACCAGGTCTTGAAAAAGCGTCATGAGAATTTTGTCTGAATGCAGTGCCTTGCTCGTTCCCATGTGGAACTAGCCCCACTGGAAAGGAGGAGCAGTGTTTCTGCTCTTTTCTGTTCACCTTAATACTGTGAAGGAGCCCCTCCCTGATGCTGAATTCCCTGGTTGGTAACACTGCGGAACTGTTGATGTACTTACGTCTCCTCTCATTTTTCCCTAGATCATAGGCCAGGTTTACGCTGACCCGGACTGTCTCCCACGCACACTGGATTTTGGCCTTAATGTCAAGCTGTTCTGGGAGAAGTTTGTTCAAAAAACTGTCCTCCAGCCTTTTTCCCTCTGGCTGCTATTTGCTGCAGACTGGAACCAGAGAGCCGGTAGGTTTGGGGTGTGGAGGGCTCCTCTTTGTAAGCATGGAGAATGTGTCTGTATCCCCTTAGTGGCAGGATTGCTCTGCACAGAGGGTGGAAGAGGGCTGTATTCCAGCCTTCCATGGGAATGCTCAAAGGCTTCCACGTGAGGAGAGACTGAAGCCTCATCAGCTTGGGAGAGACCTCTGTACATGGTGAAGGTCTCTGAAACCGTTTGCAAGACAGAGGGAGTAAAGGAGAAGTGGTTGTTCGGGGCTTCTTATGGACAAAATGTAGGGCCAGACCTTGGCAGCAGCTGTGAAAGGTGAATGCTCCAATTGATTTCAGTTGTGAAGCCTGTAGCTTCAGAACAGTGCTGCTGCCAAGTGGGTCCAAAAGAGCCAGACCTCCTGAGTCACGGGCTGTAAAAATGGAGAGCCCAGACAGATGAGAGCTTTGCAATCTCACAAGCTGAATGGGGAGGGATCATGTCACTGTCCACACCTTTGTGCATGGGACAGCGGCCTGGATGGACAACTGATTCAGCCTTTCCAGACGTCGTTGTTCGTCCGCTTTCCTACTCACATTTCCTCACTGCTGCTTCTAGGCCCCCTTTTTCCAAGCTGGAAGATTCCTTTGAAGCACTATCTCTCTACCTGGGAGAACTTGCCATCCCCCTTCCATCTGAGCTGGAGGAGCTGGACCACAACGTGAGTGTACAGTATGGATTGAGCCGTGACAAGCTACCTGAAAACACAACCTAGTCAGCTCCTCCTGCTGCCGGCACCACTTCCATTGGAGTTGAGATGAGTGACAGGGAGGGAGGTGCACTTCAGCCACTTCCAGGGCATTAATGGGGCACCATGCTGTGCATTTGCTGCATTGCCTCTCTCTCCCCACCCAGCACCCCTCCTCTTGGACATCCTGATTCACTGTGGATTTCTGGCATGTTTCAGAAGCAAAAGGGCTGTTTCCTGCCAACTGCACCTAGGAAAGCTGCTCAACACTATTTTTCCGGCTCGAGGAATGTTTCTCTGGCCTTTTCAGGCTTCTTTACTGTGGTGCCTTAGAACTTGGCTGCAAGCTGTGAAGCCACCCTGGCCTGTCTGCCGGGGAGGGAATTGCTGTAGGAGAGTCCCCTGGGCAAGGACCAGCACTTCTGGAACCGCTTCTTTCACTGACTACCCGGCTTGGAAAGCTGGGCAAAGGAGATCCAGCAAAAGGCCCACCAGGACAGCATGTGTGTGTATGTTTGTGCATGTGTTTTCCAGAACAACCCATTGAGATTTTGGCCCCCAATGTGCATTGGGGGAGGGAGTAAAAAGCGCCAGGAATTGGGCAACTCTCCTGAAATACCTTGTCTGTGGGGAAGCGTGTATGAATTTTTTGTTTTGGTTTGGTTTTGTGGGTTTTTTCCTGCTCTGTCTTTGAATACCTCCAAAAGCCTGCCCACACACACCAAGACTTCCTGCTTGGCCCTTCCAATGGTGAACAAGGCAGGCAGTAAATGAGCCACCTGAGCGTCTTCAGACCCTGAGCCTGCACAGTGAGTTTGCCTGCCCAAGAACCTTAACTTACTTAGGTGGAAGTATTTGAACCTGAATACATGGAAATGCACTAGGCACTGGCTGTGGCCATCTCTGGAGTGCTGAGGCTGCTTGAGCTGTCAGCCTGTGGACATGAAATGACAGAAAGGGTGGCAGAAAGTGCTCTTCAGAAAGCAGGACGTCTGAAGTGGCTCAGACTTTGTGCATGGACAAGGGGGACGTGCCCAAGGTTACTTAAAGCATGGACTTGTCATGACCAGAAAAGTGCTGGAGAATGTCCCATCCTCCCAGGAGTGGCAGCTGGAGAACTAGTAATTCAGTTGCCATTACCTCATCCTTTCCTGCAGGCTGTGCAAGTTGCTCCCTTTGAAGGTCCTTCTTGCAGCTGCTGCTGCAGCACCTGAGCTGATACTCCAAGCTGAAACTTTCCTCAGGGTCATTCCCTGCGTTTGGGGAGAAAAAAGGGCTTGGAGTCATTGGGAGGTGGGTGGGGGTGTATTTTCTTCCAGCACTTTTCTTCCTCCCGCAGTCGGAGAAGGAAGAAAGCAACTGCTAGAGTAGGTCACGTGGTTGGCAGAACTGAACAAAAAGCTGGCTCAAGTCTTGCTCTTAAGTTTCACAAACATCTTGGTTTAACTGGATTTTTAGTGTGCTCTTTTCTTCCCCCTTCCCCCTCTTCAGTATTGAATGGTGGGGAATGGGTGTTAGTCTTTGCTGTTACTTTTGATTTCCTCCCCTGACCCATGAGTTTAAAGTATTATGTAAAATAACATGGGACCAGCCATCACCTGACAAAAAGTGTGGGTAGTAGGGGGGGTGATTTTAGTCTTTGTAGGGGTGTTTTAGAAAGTGGGGCTCCCTGTGCTGTGGGTCAGTGGAGGAGCCTCTCTAAACTGGGTCCAGTGGATTCAGGATTGTTAATAGGATTTGCCCTTTCTTTCCCTCTCCCAGGCTGGTTTGTGAGGGGACCTGAGAGTCCTGGGTGATGTGTGGGTGGGGTTTATGAACTGTGATTTGCACAGCTCCATGTTCTAACTAAATTAAAAAGCAGTAAATGTATGCTATGAAAACAAAATTTTGGTGTCTGTTACATAAAGCAATAAGCTGTAATGTTCTTGGGTTTCTAGTGTCGCAAAATGGCAACGTCAAAACTGCACAGATGGGGTATCGTCTAAAACTCTCCTTCTCGAGCCAAAGGGCTCTGCCATGTTCACAGAACCACAGAGACACGGTGGAAGTGCTATTTACCTGGAGTGATGGAAATGGAAGAAGTCAAGTTCCGTTGGTTGGTAGTTGAACCTTTTTAAAGGTGGACAGGAGTCGGCAGAACATGGAGCCTCTCTCCCTTTCCTTTTCCAATCCAGGGATAAAAAACCAGCCTGTTCTTGGAAACCTCTTACTCTGAAATCTGTAGTTGAAGGGGTATTTGTTAAGGCAACAACTGAACAAAAGCTCTAGCTGTGTCAGTGCCTCCTGTAATGTGCTGTGCTCGTGTCGCCATCATGCTTTCCAACACCAAGGCCCCAAGGGATGGAGCTGCTGCTGAGTGGCACCAAAGCAGAACTGACCTGTGTCAGTGCAGGAAGGGGCTGTAACTGAGAGCACCTTCCCCTGGGCCAGGTCTGCTTAGTCAGGGCAGCTCACACCCCCAAAGCTGCTTTTCAGGAACAGTGTCCCAGTCAAAGACTAGCTGCTGACAATGAGACAAGCTCTGTGCTTCCTGTCAGTGCTGGTGAGTGGGGGCACTGCTTGTAGGGATTTACCTTTGGGCCTGGCAAACTGAAGCCGCATCTTCCCTTCTCAAGTCGAAGTCTGCAACAAGCGAAAGGATGCTGCTCTGGCAGGAGGAATGTACAGATGAGCCACAGTCCACACAGGTCTACAGAGCATTTTTCTTTTAAGCTTTAATACAAGGTAGCACAATCTGCACCTTCTCATAATGAGGTATTTAAAACATTTTACAAAGAAATGGTATTCAAAGGCATTTAAAAATAAAATGTTTCCCTTTTCTGAATCAAACATTAACACTAAGACCCCTGTTGCCACGTGCTGCTCCCTGTTAGGCCCACAGCTATATAGCAGATGGCTAGAAAACTTCCTTGAATGGCTTGAATCCCCTGACGTGGGGATGGATGTTTCCCTGAACTGGCCTTGCCTTGGTGCCCTTCGGGAGACACAGCAGCAACCAGCCCTTCCAAACCCACCTGAAATGCTAATAAAAGTTGTTACAAAATCTCTCTAATAGAGCCAGGCTCTGTAAGCAAGTATCCTTGCTGCACAAGCTGAGTGTGTGTGGAGGCTGGGCTGGGAGCCATGCTCTGACTTCAGGATCTTACAAGAGCAGCTGCCCTGTCCTGCCCTTAGAGCAAGAGCTGCTGCATCATGCTCAGAGTGACCTCCACAGCCGGCTTGGCCACTCTGGCCAGAGCTGGCTCTGTAGAAAGACAAGGGAGTTCGGAAGAGGATCTTAACTGTCCTCAGTGCTCAACCTGCTGTAGGTAACTGAAGGGCAGTTTGTTATCTTAGTTCCACAACTATCTACTGCTGGCCCTTGGTCTCCTGATCTGTGTAAGCGAGCGGGAGGCACAGACCACCTGGACACCTGCAATTCTGGCTGTGCATGTAGCACCACAGGGGAATGGAGATGTGGCCTCAGCCCTGGAAGACCTGGATTTGTCAAGAGCTTGAGAAGAGCTTTTCCAAATTGACACTGGGGCTAAACATACTGCTCCTGGCCAAAGCCATCCCTCAAATAAACTCTTCCTTGGAAAAACTCTGATCCAGTAGCAGCATTCTGGACAGCGTCTCCAGCTCTCAGCCACTAATGCAAAAAGGCAGGAACTATAATCAAGAGTGTAATTATCTAGCTATGTGAAGCTCCCCTCAGTCCCTGCAGTACTGCTCCCTCCTGGCGTTCCAGGCTGAAACTTAAGTAACAGTGCACACCATTAAATAGGAAAGGAACAGAAAAAGAGGAAGCTAAGACCACACTCTGGGCTAAGGGATCTGTGACCAGTTGTGAGCCTGGCCCATCATCCCCCCCAGCTCCTCGGCATGCCGCGGAGATAGGTGGGAGGAAGCAGCAAGGTCCACCACACCAGTCCCCAGCTGGTCATGCACTGAACGGTGCCTCTCAAACAGATCGTGATGAATAGCCCATCGTTCTGTCCCTCTGCATCACCTTCATCTGGCTTTCATCAAAAAGAAAACAAAATAGAAATGAACACACACAACCCCCGCACTCACAGTGGGAAGCTGGAGGCTTTGCTCAGCCTGTATGGCTTCTGCCTGAGCTGCTCAGGCACCAGGAGTACCCGCCTGCCCCATGAGCGGACCACTACCATCCTGCGTGTCCTCCACGGGCGTCTGGTTGGTGTGCACCACGATTGTGTTCTCATCTACAAGCTCGCAGGCAGGATTAGTGAACGCTGAGAGTGGCAGTGTGATGCGCTGCATTTCACGTTCATAAACTTTCTGTTCATGCTTCTCCTTCATATCCTTCCCCCTAGATTAAAAAAAACCAAAACATACATGCACATGGGCTGAGTGCTGCTGCTTGGAGGCAGAGTCTCAGTAAAGGTAACACAGAAGAAAAGAGACTGTGCTACTCAGAAAACAGTTGTTCCAGCTGCATGCCAAGGGCCAGAAACATTCCCTGCTGTAAGCAGAGGACCCCATCTGAACACAGCAGCCAAGGGAAGCTTGGCCTTGTAAACTGGCCTATTCACTGCTAACAGCTGAATACCACAACCAGCTCCTCAAACCTACCTCCTGTTGTTAAGGGAGGTGACACTTCTATAGTTTATCCTGAGGAAGAACTGCCTTACTTTAAAAATGGATGTCATTAATAGCATGTTGTCTCCAGAACAACTACACATACCAAAAGCTACTAAAGCCATTAAAGGTTTCTCAGCACACCTACCCAAACCTGCCAGTTTGCACATTTAATTTTGAGAGCAACACAGGAAGAAGAGAGAGACTGTAAACCTGCACTGCAGCCCTGCTGTGAGCTCTCTGGGACTGAAGTTGCAAAGCTGCATTTGGACAAAGCTCCCAAGATAGGAGTGAGGTGGGACAGGCACCACTCACTCCTCCTGGGGCTTGTGATCCCAACCAGGCAGAGCTGCTGGGGTTTCCTGTCAGCACATAAGCATTTTGGCTGCTTTTCAAAGCTGCCTACAAGCATACAGCAGCGGCTGCCGTTCCTGCCAGCACACGAGACAGCATTCTCTGAAGTGACACCTCAAATCAGATTCCTCGACAAGCAGCACTCTGTGTTTTGCCCCTTATGTAACACTCCTCCCTCTGTTGTTTTTTTTTTTTTTTTCCTGTCGGCATTTATAATAAACACTTACATAAGGACATGTCCCAGCTTGGGAAAGGGCTCCTTCTGCTTGCTTGTGTCAGACTGCTGTCAAACAGCCAAAATACAGAACAAACCCTCCCAGAGGAGGGAGCCTGGGCCTTCCCTTGCTGCAGCTACGTTCACTGCTATTTGTTAATTCGGCCCCGTCTCTTACGACTAAGCTGCTGGCTATTACCACTAACCTCAAACACTGCTGAGCTACAGAAACGTTTCTGTCCAACACAGCAAAGTGGCTGAACAAATCATAACTTAAGTGTGAATCAAAACTGACCTTCAAGTATATAGAAGCTTTGGTAAAAAGAACTTTGACCCCAAAAAAAGTGCTACTTGATACAGTGCACGAGTAGCTAAGAATTTGCCAATTGTTTTTTCTTATTAAGCTAGCTACACTAGGGAAACCAGGGGAACAGGTGGCCTGCTACAAGGATTGTTCTTTTTCCATATACATCGCTTCACACCTACATCAGCTTTTGGACAAAGGGGAATAGCCACTGACCTCTTGTAGATGTACCCCAGGACAATGCCAGCTCCAATGGCAATGATAATCACCATCATGATCAGCCCCAGCACATACCCTGTGAAGAAAGAAAGGAAAGAGGCAAAATTAGATGCAGCTATGGCATTTCTTTCAGAGCCTCAAAGCAAATCCATCCTGCCAGAATTACAGGAACGGATCCATCACATGATCCTGGGTTTGTACCTAGTGTCCCTAAGTCCTTCTTTTCTTTGGAGTTCATCTGCACTCTCTGACTGATCCCGACGACGGGCTGCACAGCAGCTGCTTCGCTCCGGGAGGGCAAGGTATCGGCTGGTTCAAACACCTGGTTGACCTCCTGGGAAGTAGCAGCAGCTTCTGCTGTAGGGACTGCGGCTGTGGCTGCTGTAGCATCTATGGAGAGGAAAGAGACACACAAAATACCGTTGATGAGTACTTCAAAACAACACGTGCCTCGTGAGTGGGACAGATCTAGACTGGCATCACTGAGCCGCCTTCGAAGCACACTGGCAAACACTTGTTCCCTCTTAAGTCCTTGCCAGAAATTCTACCAAGGCAGACAAGGAATGTACTCCTGCCCCTACTTTCCTTTGTGATGAACCTATTTAACAAAGAGTGCAAGGCAGCACCTCAGATGAGCCCCAATTCAGACAGCAGAATGAAATGCAGGTTCAGGGCACAAGTCCAGGGAATGCACAATGACTTCATTTAGTGTACAGATCGATATGCAGGCTACAGCTTCAATCATGCTGAACAGACATGAACAAGATTATGAGAATCTCCATCCCAAATCTCCCAGGAGCCTATTTACCTCTCTTCTGCCTCGATCCTCCTGACAGTGGAAGGTTTGATGGAAGGAGACTACAGCTGGTGTGAAAACAACCTGGGGACATTCTTCTTACCCAGCCTCTCTTGGCAGCCGTGTGGCAAACTCCTCCAGTGTGATGAACAGGCTAAGTCAGAGCAACGCTTCAGGCAACCCAGCCACTGACTAGTGTAGGTACGGCAAGTTCCTCCTCAGCCAGAGCCCAAAGGATGGACGCTCAGAGCACTGACTTCTTCCCAGCCCTCTGGATTTTTTATCAACAGCACTGGGAGATTTCCAAGATACCTTCCTCTTTCATGACACAGTTAAAATGGAAGCTGTAGCACAGTAAAAGCTATGACAATGTTACCTGTCCTAAACAGAAAAGCCTCACTTCCAGGAAACATTATGAACAGTATGCATCCACACCTGGAAACTCTCCCCACCTGGATCTCACGCCACAGCTGGCAATGACTCCCTGTGGATTTCCCATCCGCAGCCATTTTAAGTCCTCAGTGGAATGTGAGATGGAAGTACAGAAGGGGAGTCAGAGGCAGGAAATCAGGGACTCCTGCGCTGCGCACGGACTTTACTCAGGTCCTAAGCTGAACCAAGGGGAGCTGCAGGACACAACTGCGGTAAAAGGATGCCCATCCTGAGATACAAAAATAGCCAAACCCTTTAAACGTACAAATGGTGTACTGGCTGAAAGAGCAAGTAATGTCCTCGATCCTGAAGCTGCAGGACTGTTTTGAAGAACAGTCTTGGCAGCAGATTTGTTTTGCTTTATCTTTAGGGAGAAGCAGACAAAAAAGGAGTAAAGTGAAGAAAAGGGGAGGGTGTATGTGTGGGGGAAAGTGTTTACATGCAAGAATAGCAATCCCGAGGGACAGTGGAACATGTAAATCTTGATGGGCTCAAAAATAAGTAAACAGCTCAAAAAACCCAAGTGGCTACTTTGGCCTCAGTCAATACTGACATCTCCTCTCCCTGAAACAGGCTTCAGCTACGGTTATTCTCTTGGCAAACTTCCCACCCTGACTATCCAAGCAGAATCCAATGTTTGGGGTTTTCCATTTCTTACTGGATGCTCATTTCTTACTCAATGCTCATTTTCTCCAAGTTCTTTTCCCCCACCCACACCTCAACTCACCCTGTCGCTCCTCTATCAACAGGACATTTGTTTAGACAGCAGTGACGCCCCACAATAATGGTCTGCCAGCATCTCTGCAGTTCCCAGACACCCAGACCCGGCCTCTGGCAACTCAGGCGAAGAGCCCTATGGCGACCAGTGAAGTGGGGGGTGGGCAAGGCTTCGCACAGGCCTTTTCTGGCACTAATGGAAAAGCTCCAGGGGCGGAGCACGGCACAGCTGGGAGACAGATGTGCACACGGCGAGGGCTGGGGGGAGCCCCGGTAC